TACTTAACAGTCATGTCTGGCTGAGGAGCCTTTTTAAGAGAACAGTGATTTTTCAAAACACCATAATCACAAGAAGAATATTGCCTATATTTTTGGATACAGACACAGTACTCTGTAGACTTAATTTGTCCCTGCTACCAATTTCAAAAGGGACATCTAGTGCATTTTTACTTCATTGAAATACATATGCAGTGGGTATACTGTCAAGTTCTACTCTTAATGAATGAGAACCTCCATGTTTTTACAGGTGCTCTTAATTAGTGACAATGACTGATCCTGTGATAAGCAGCCAGTTTGCTGCTGCTGGTGCACTCTGTCCCTATTTGCTCTTGTGGGCCCTTCTTTGCCGTTTGCCTTTGTGATGTGAACAGGATAGCTGGGAAAAGTTCAGACAAGATGGCAAACGGCAAAGAAGGGCCCACAAGAGGGTCCAGGGTTGAATCCCTGTTCAGGTGCCATGTCAAGTTCTACTCTTGTTCAACTTCCAAAGGACACAAGGACAACTCAAATTTCCGACTCAGTCACTTTTAATTTTCTTTTTTATCTTTTCAGTTGATTCAGTAAATTAGGTTGTAAACCTTTAAAGACAGAAAAACAAATGTTACCATTTTAACTAAACATTTTAATTAAACAGTTTCATATGTTTTAGTAAAGTTTTAACATTTACCAGAATTTTTACCTTTTTAACTTGTTCTATTCTTTTGTATCTTATACATTTACATTTTTTTTTTTTTTTTCTTTCCAAACTCACCATGGTTATTTTAGCACTAACTCATTTAACACAATCAATAAAGTCAATGCTGCAAGGTGTTTCTTAACCAATCTACACAGCAGTTAAACATACTTGAACATATTAAGCAGCATTTCAAACACCATGAAATTAAATAAACCATTTCACTGACCATTGGCGTCTTTGGACTGAACCTATTAGTGAACTTGGAGCGTCTTCTCTCTGAAGTTTCTTCTCTTAATGAATGAGAACCTCCATGTTTTTACAGGTGCTCTTAATTAGTGACAATGACTGATCCTGTGATAAGCAGCCAGTTTGCTGCTGCTGGTGCACTCTGGGAAGTGTAGTTCTTTGAGACCCATTTCTGAGATTTAGCTCAACATATACTGAGGAGGCAGGCTTAGGATTTCATTACGTTTCCATACACTGAAGTGAATTATGAGGATAAGGCACATATGGATCATGTTCCTTTATGTTTTTCCCAGACAGGATGAGAGTGAACCAATAAAACAGCATTTCAAGTTCCTGTCTAGCCATATGCTTTGGTCATATTATTACATCATAGAGATTATGCTTGACCCTGTAGATGCTGATGCAATATACCAGTTCTTCAATACGTTGTTCAAAGGAAACAGAAAGCATGACGGTTACTTCAGAAACCCCAAATGCACATATTGGACCTTCATTTTGTGTGCTGGTTTTGATGAGAGCCCTTTTGTCATCTTGTCCCTGGATCCAGATACTTGAGATGTAATGATGCTGCTCCCTGCCATTGCCTTCAAGGCAGAGCAGACTGATCATGCTGCAGGATGCTGGTGGGCAGGCACAATTGAGATGGGCTCCATTTACTCCGCCGAGACACTTGTCTATAGTCTGTAGCCGTGAGCCTCCATCAGATGTGACCAATTCTGCTGCTGACTTCTCTTGTAAAGGGCTGACATCCTCAGGCCAGGGGCCCAGCTGGTCAATGTGCTACTGATAACTCTGCAGAAAACTGCCAAGACGACTCAAAAGTATTTTGATTTTGATATCTCACAGTACATACAGGATATTTCACATAACTAGTGACCATATGTCCTCTTTTTCCCCACACATGTTCTGGCTGGAATTTTTTTAACTGCTTAAAATGTGTTAATTAAACATGCTGTCTACAGTCCTCATACATTATATGTATGCATTTGCTCTGCTTTGACCGTTCTCTGTAAATCCAATTTTCTGGCATGCCACTATTGGTTGATAATGTACGATGCCTGCATGCTATTCGGTCAAACTACTTTCCGTCATTACCTTCAGCAAGTATGAAAACAAGAGGAAAACAAAACCAAAACCTAGACATTAATTTAGAAATTCCAGCCAGGACATCTCTGGGAAATAAAGGATGTAAGGCCACCATAATATAGCCTACAACTTTAAAGGGAGTTTCATAAGCATAGGAGTCCCTAAAAAATATAAGTCCCTAAATAAAAAAGTAATGCAAATACAAAAACCTGTAGACTTAATTTCATACACATTTAATTATCATCATTATTATCATTAGTAGTAGTCATAGTAATAGCACTAATAGTAATAATAATTTTGATGGAATCTGAGAGCTCTCTGACCCTCCATAGACAGCAATATTACCACGATCAACGCACAGAAACGTATTAAGGAGATCAGTAAAATAGTCCATGTGACAGCAGGGGTTCAACCGTAATTTTACGACACTACGAGAATACTTTTTGTGCGCAAAGAAAACAACAATATAATTTATTCAGCAATTCTTCTCCCCGAGTTACCGTCTTCCGCCATTTTGGAGAGTACCCCAGAATGTAATCAACGGCAATCAACGTTGTTTAACAGCGTTGTTTAAGTTCAGCATGCGCGCGCTGTCTACTGAACGTAAACAACGCTGAGTACACGATTACCTTCAGGGGTACTCCCCAAAATGGTACTATTGCTGTATCTTGCTACGTTTCTGTGCATTGATCGTGGTAATATCCTTGCTATCTATGGAGGGTCAGAGAGCTCTCAGATTCCATCAAAAATATCTTTATTTGTGTTCCGAAGATGAACGAAGGTCTTACGGGTATGGAACGACATGAGGGTGAGTAATTAATGACAGAATTTTCATTTTTGGGTGAACTAACCCTTTAATATAAAGGTTGACATCAGGGACAATATTATTTAAGATGATAAATGAAAATCATTGGAAGAAAGGAATAAATAGCCTGTAAACTCTTGTCCTATTAAGTCAACAATTATGCATGCTGCAGGCTGGGTTATCAGTTGCTAGGCAACTCTAATTAAATGAACCCTTGCCTTCAATTTTGAGGTATTTAGTTTAGCTAAATTTGAGAGACATGTGCTTCCAAAAGACAATTTAACTAATGCACTGGAAATCATGAAAATAGCATTTTTTTTTTTTTTATGTATGTTTAAAGTGTCATGTAAATGGATGGCAATCAGTGTACTTCCAAACAACACTTTTGCTTGACCTTAAAGCAATGTATTACAGTAATTCCACATACCAACTGTGGTGTAGCTCAAGTAGAAATTCAAGCTAGTTGTTTCTGGATTTGGAAAACAGATTAAACAACTTTAAAATCCATCAAGACTTTTTAATTAATGGCACTAAAACTGGCATATGGGGAAAAACATGCTGTCGTCTTTAATACATTTTTTTTTCTCAGTCACATGCAAGTGCTTAAACTTTACCTTTGCTTTTGCCATAAAAGGCGATTAACTCAGAGAAACAATGTTTCTTTTTAGGAAAATATGTTTAATGAGGAAAGACATACTTGTATATTGAATATACTAGTCAATTATTGAAGAACTCAGTACAAGAGATTTAATGAGATAATTCTATGAAATTGACTTTCAGGTATTTTATAAACATTTGAATATCAAAACAATGTCCCTTTAACGTCAGCATTTAAATGAGCTATTTAAAGATCTAATATTTCATTCATTCATTCAAGTTTATTTGTACAGCGCTTTTCACGATACAAATCATTGCAAAGCAAATTTACAGCAAATTAAGTTTTGGGATATTTATTGATTTATATTTATTGTATACTTGTGCAGATATGATTGAAAAATAAATTATTTTTTCCAAATAACTAATCATTGAAGAAATATAAGCAAATGCAGTATAATTAGCCCGAGAATGGCTTGGCTTTTGATGAAAATTAATGAAGAGAAAGCATTGAAATGTTTTAACAATAAAAGGCAAACAAAAGCCTGTGAGTCATAATTTATGTTCTATGATTACACTACATTGTTCCAAACAACACCTCACTGTCAAATGACCTCAAAGCGGAGGATGTTTCTCATTGTGTTTCCCACCATAGAAACAGTCAGTCTGAGCTCTTTGTTCTCTAACATAAGAGCCGTAGCCCTCTGCAGGCAAACTGATTAAATAATTCAAAGTTACATATTGAAATGCATTCTGTTTCCCACCAAGCAGATCTACATTTGCAAAATCTTGATAACAGCCCACTGTGATTATTCTTAATGGTAAGCAAGTAAAAACTGAACACTTCATTGCGATTAAATGTTTTCCCCTCATTTTTTGTCAATAATGGACCATCTTTTCCTGAGAAATTCCAACAGTATTATTGAGTGTTATGTGCACATAAACCCACATTGGTTTTGGCACATTTTCTGCATTAAAATTAAGCACAAATTCATACCCTGTACACCAGTGTATGTGGTCATGGCAGCATGTTAGTTGCATCGTGAAACTGATTAAGATGTTCTCACATCTACTTTACATTGTAGTTTAAGTATTGACTGAACTCTCACACTACCATTTAAATGTTTGGGGTTAGTAAGATGTGTTTTTGCTTGTTTGTTTTTTATTCAAACATGCATTAAATTGATCAAGTGACGGCAAAATACTTGCATGTTACAAAAAAAAAAAAAATCTATTTGAAATTAATGCTGTTTTTTTTTTTACTTTCTATTCATCCAAAAAAAAAAAAAAACTTTGACAATAATAATAAATGTTTACAAATGCCAAATCAGCATACTAGAATAATTTCTGAAGGATTGTGTGATTTATCTTATTTCACAATATTAGTTTTTACTGTATTTTTGATCAAATAAATGCAGACTTGGAGAGCATAAGAGACTTCTTTCAAAAACATGAAGAAAACAATTATGAATGGTAGTGAACATTAAAGTCAATTTATAATCTGTAATATTTAAATTTTGAGAGCAATGCATTCGTTTCAAACTAGCTGTTCAAGTGATCTGAAATAGATTATAGTGCTAAATAACATGTGGACAGCGGGGTGATATTTCAAGAAGTTAAGCAGGACACATCAGTCAGATTCAACACAGCATGGACGTATCTACATAAAAATTATTGTGATTAATTTTATTGACCATTCCAACAAAACAAATGTCATACAATCCATGCCTACCTTACGTTTGTTTCTTGAATTTCCTGTGAAAGATCAATTTCCTGTTCTTTCAGTACATGGAGACAAAGGGATGTCTATTAAATCATCCAAACAGACAGCAAGAGAGCATGTAAATTCCTCTTACTTCCTACTGTAAACGTATACTCTCCATGTCATTCATTGATCTGCACTCACATAGAAAATCAATTCAAAAAAAATTTAGATATAAAACTCAAACAGTCTTTCTTCTTAGCTTTTTATGATTTGCTCCACTGCACTGTTTCATGGATCCACATTAGGGAAGGTACTAACTTTATTGTTTCTACTGATGCGTCTCTCAGGCCGAACTCTGGGCTGCTTGGTCTGGATCAGCTCCTCTGGTGTGTTACCCAATGGAGGAAGGAGTCTTTTCTTACTGTTCCTGGTTTCAGGCAGCCATTGTGGTGGCAGCTCAAATGGCCCAAAACCAAACTGTGTTACATCCTCTGGGTCCGTGGGAGTCGCAGGGGCGACCTGTGAAGAGGAGTAGGCACATGACTGAATAGGGGAATGTTTTGGTAACACTAAGCCCTCTTCTTTTACCGCGTCCCCTGACTGCGGCTGATGCAGCTCTCTTGCCGCCCCTCCGTTTCCAACCTGTCCTCCATCTTTGGGTTGAAAGTTGGCGGAGGCCACAGAGGAAATTTCATTCTCATCTTCTTCGTCCTCGTTTGGTCTGAAGATCTGTTGTTGGCCGATATTGAACATCTCCAGGAGTTGACTACCAGAGCGAACCACAGTCTCGCCCCCTAGTGGCCCTACTTCAGCCAGACCCCCAATGCTGACCATGTTCCTTCGGCTATAGCGGCGATGAAGGCGTGCTAGCATATCAAGAAGGCAGCGCCGCACAGAACGGTTTACTGTGAGGAAAAACAGCGGGTTGGTGAGGAGAGAGACCTTTGGCAGCCACACGGCAGTCAGCTGTAACCAAGACGAGGCTTTTGCGGCCCCCAGCACTGAACGGTATATGACCAGAGCGGCGTAGGGAGTGCTGCACACCGCGAAGACTAGAACGATGGACAACAGAGTGGCGTGAAGTTCAGCCTCACGCTGAGACACATACGGGATGGAAATGCTGTTCTGTGGGGTGCGCAGCGCCGCGATGATGACTTTCTTCTTCTGGCTGGTGCTTAGTGCGCGGCGGATTAGTGCCATGGCTAGAAACACCACTGCTAGTGGTAAAATGAGTGTGGTGACGCTGTATGTGATCATGTAAACCAGATGTCCAAGCGATTGGCCGTCAGAACAGGAAGAGGTGGCGTAGACATCCGTCACATTGCTTACAGCGAACACAGGGGCGCTGGCCACCACCGCATGCACCCAGATGTAGATGACCAGGTCTCTGGATTTGGCATCTGATATCTTTCTCTCCAGTGGATACAGTGCTGAGTAGTACCTGGAAGTGAAATAAAAGGAAGGCACCGCTGCAAAATTTTGGTAAAATTTCAAAGGCAAGAAAGGTCCATTGCCTATTGTCAAAATAGAACAAAGCAGTCATTTTCAAACCAAGCAGGTTTCTGTTGACTCATAAGAGTCATTTGTTTGGGAATCAGTTGGAATACACTAGTCATGCTAATAAGTTTGATTCATTTAAAAGAACTTTCATAAGTGTAATTTAGCTAGATATCGGATTATACAAGTTGAACTGAATGATACTGACTAAAAAGAAGCAACTCATAAGAGTCAATCGGTTTGGGAATTGGTTTTACTACACTGATTGTGCTGAAGAGTTTTGATTCAATTAAAGATCCAGTTTTGCTTAGAGATTGGACTATACTAAGTTGCTTAGTTTAGATTCATTCAATTCTGATAACACTAATTGTGTTAAATGTTTTTTGTTTAAATAGAATTGGTTCTGAATAAGCCCTAGTTAAATCAGTTACATAACCTTGATACTGTTTAGAGGACTAAATTGTTTATAGCACAGTTAAACTGCTTAATGTGTGCGCAAAAAGACATAAATAGATTGATTAGATAGATTCATAATGAAAATCCCAGGAAAGGCACAAAAGGAAAATACATAAAATCAGTACGTTTTATTATGTGATTTGTGTCTGCATGTTGCATGTATGTTTTTTTCTGAAGTGAAAAAATGTTGGTCTCAAGAAAGGCTTCTGTGCTAAGCAAAATAAATTATTCAATGAACTGATAAAGGGTCTGGCGGAGTAGGTTGCTATGGAAGCACTAGTCTGTGAAACAGCTGGTGCCCATGGATTGAGTACAACTGTAAGTGTTTTCAGATTTTCTCAAGCGATCATTCACCATATTATTATCTTAATCAATTGTTTTAATTATTGTTTGATTGAGACCCTTAGTGACCTCAAATATAAAGCAATTACACTTTCGTTGTTAGCAAAAGATGAGTGAATTAGTATTGATATCCGCTCACCTATCCAGGGCGATGACAGCGAAGCTGAGCACAGTGGCAGAGCAGAAAAGCCTGTGTAGGAACTTGATGGCTTTGCACAGCAGAAGTGTATGGACCCATAGGCAGCATAGGGGACTGGCACTCAAGGCTATGTCAAAGGGCACACACACCAACCCAGCACAAATGCCAGAACACGCTAGGTTCTTGATGAAGAGATTGGTGACAGACTTGAAGACATTGGTGTAGCAAGTGCACCACAACACTGCAGTATTGCCTGGGGACGAAGAGATGAAAAGGTTAAGGGTTACAAGCCTAGGTCAGTATCCAAGGACACAACTGAATGTGAGTGGGACATGAGCAGCCTTCATCTTATTGTCTACAGCAGTTCCCATGGCAATGAGGTACCTGAAGATTGCAAGCTAATTTGAAGGGGAAAAAGCGTTGTTCCCTTTGTGGTTCCTGTAAGCAACAGGACGGCATTGTTATGCTGCTGTGAAGGACAAACAAGCCTCACAGTGCAGGGTATTAAGATTTTAGGAAGAAGCAAAAGCTTAGCATGCACAGGCACATAAAAACCAAGTGTTTCTAATATTGAGATGTTCACATGAGGTGGACACTTGTTGGGTAAAGTAAATTTCCTCTTCTCTGAAAAAGCAAAAATTTGGGTTATAGTAAAGCACTTACAGTACAATGGAAGCGAATGGGTCCAATCTATAAAACATATTGCAATACTTGTTGCAATAGTAGCCAAAATGTGTTAACATGATTTTTGTGTTAAAGTATCACTGTTTTGTATAAAACTACATACAATTTACCAGCCAAAATCCTAAAATTCCTGTAAAAATTATGATTTAGCTTTACAGGTGAAATAATACAAGTTTTAACCCAAGAAAGTGCTTTAATATAGTTATAAGCTTCACATTTCTGCTTTTAAATACTCCAAATCTGGTCCTATTTACTTCCATAGTCCATGAGGGACAATTTGAAAGTCAAATGCTGTCCATTGAGTTTAACTTTTACTGAACCCAGAATATTCCTTGGCATGACACATGACAACACAGCTGTAGCTGATAAGCATTTCCAAAGCATTTCCATAGTAGGCTTCATTTCTTCATACCATAGATGAGCATTTAAAACAATAAGGGAGAGCATGTAAAAAAGTTTCACTCGGGGCAAAATGGAAATGAAGCATGTCACTTCAAGTGGAAAACTACGCAAGATTAATTTACTTGGAAGAAATTATGCACGGACATGATGAAATTCACACGCCTTGAATTAAAATGGAGCCTGAGGTGATTCTCTTCTTGGATGTTGATGTGAACAGAGCACTTGGGTGACAGGTGCTCTCTAGCCAGACCCGTTATTACGCTTGACACATTGTCGGAAGGTGCATCTTTTGCGCAAAGACTGTGACTTTCATCTTTTCCCATTACCATGCAGGTGTAACGGGCAAAGCGCGGTGGAATCCATCTGCAGCTGCCTCTGTGTTATTACCCTGGTGACATTGAGTGCACACTGACAGTGCCGGACAATTGTCCATTTGTTCCCAGAAGTGTCTGGTACGCCCGTGGCTAACAGTGGTTTTTAGACTTCACAGAGGTTAGTGGTTAGTGGTTTCTCAACTCTTTCTAATATGTTTGAGAATTCTGAAGTATGAGAACAGATGTTGGCTGTTGGCTAACTTAGCTGTAATTATCATGTCTGATTAATCTTAATGATGGAAAATCACTGAAAAGTAAAGAAAATTGTCAGAACAGAAGATTATCAAAGCATGCTGTGTCTTTAAAGGGATAGTTCACCCAAAAATGAATATTCTGTCATCATTTACTCACCCTCATGTTGCTCCATAGCTGTATAACTATCTTTCTTCCGTTGAAACAAATGCAGATATTTTGAAAGATGTTTTAAGAGCTTTTCTGTCCATACAATGAAGGTCAATGGGGTCCAATATTGTTCTGGTGCCTATCGACTTTCATGGTATAGACAAAAACAGATTATTTTTCAAAATACTGTTCTCCGCTTAAAAAAAGAAACTCATACAAATCTGGATGATCATGAGGGTGAGTAAATGATAACAGAATTTTCCATTTTGAATGATATGTCCAGTCTTTGTCTGAGAATTATTCAATATTTATGCATTGAATGTATAAGCAGCAAACAGATACTGGAATATTGGCAATCAGAAAAACACCTGTATCTTTTAATTTGGAGTGCATGAGCCAAGCAGTCTGCTAAATGAACGCCAAGGATAAAACTTGAGTGCAATAATGACTAACCCACTGCCACAATGACTTTCCATAACCACAATGAATGTCTGAAATTCCCAACTTTTCTGAAACTTGAGCCCTAATCCAGTGCAGAAACAAATCATCAGATTACGATCATTTACTAAGCGCTCTGCAGGCTAATTAGTCATGTGATGGCTCATTTGTTTTGAGTCTGATGAAATTGCCTCCCTCTGACGTAGCTCAGAAAAAACAAGCAGAACAAAAGAACATTATACTATAAACTGCTAAAATCTCATTTACTGCGAGAAAGCTCTGAATACTCTATTTCTTTCCCCTTTCTCCAAATATCGCATCATTTCTATTGGTACAGAATACACTGCATTAAAGAAGATAGGATTATCAATAGCATTCTACAGCACCTATATGTAATCTGTGTAGTCTTTTTGTTCAAGGTATCATTGTCAGAGTGAGAAGCTGTCGTGTAGTAAAAAGCCTCCTAGAAACCTGGTATGTGACATTGCACTGACTGAGGAAACCTTACTCTGTTTGTATTGGTCCAAGCATGAATGAACCCAGTAAAAACATCTCATTTCTAAGTTTCTGTTTGTCGCATGATCATTGGCTTATAGATGTGATAATCATTTTGCTGCAATGTATAAGAATTCACACAATCATCTTAACACATTTTCTTGGAAATGTCTCTGGAATGGCGAGTCATTTAAATAGCGCTGTTCTCTAATACAGTTTGTTTTGTTTTTAGAAAGAAAAAAAAAAAGCTGTTTGCACAAAGTGTCAACGACAGCAAAATAATTGTCTTCTGATGTACATATTGATTACTTGGTGAAAAGACTTAAACCAAGATTGGGGTTTCTATTTCGGCAAAACAAAAAAAGTTTTCCTTTGGAGCTAGAAATCAAATTATACAGAGTACATTTTTACCCATTCTGGATTATGGAGATGTTATTTACATGCATGCTTCTACATATTTATTGAAAAGACTGGATAGTGTTTATCATGCTGCATTGCGATTTATAACAAATGCTTGCTCACGTACTCATCATTGTTTGCTGTATAATAAAGTAGGTTGGTCCTCTTTATATCAAAGAAGGAAATCACATGTTAGTGTATACTGTAAAGGCATTGTTAGGCATGCTTCCAAATTACATCTCTAGTCTTTTATGCCTACATAGAAAGAATTATATCACCAGATCATCAAATGGGATTCAATTAGAAATACCCGGGGTACATTCAGAGCATGGAAAATCAGCTTTCTCTTACTATGCTCCGTGGTTGTGGAATTAATTTCAAACTGTAACTCCATTAGAAACAATTCCTTCTTTTAATATTTTTAAAAATTTAGTGCAGTGTTTAGCAAATGAATCATGTTGTTGTTTTAATAAATTTACTGATTTATGATTATTGTTTTTGCTTTGGTTCTATATAATTTTGTCTTGTGAGGTGTATGTTTGTGAAATTTTATGTGAAATTTTTGTACGGTCATCTTGGCCAGGACTCCCTGGAAGAAGAGATTTCTTTTATCTCAATGGGACCTTCCTGGACAAATAAAGGATAAATAAAATAAATAAATAAATAATCAAAATGATTTAAATCTCAGCATAAGCTCTCCAGCTGAATTGTGATCTGAAGTATGGACAGCTGTCTGCTAACTAAAAGATTTTTTATTAACTAGTTGCAAGCAACTTGTGATTAAAATGTTGTTTCTACTCATTTAAAACCATATAATAGATTATACAAAGGACACGATCACTGAGCCAAGGCCAATAATTTAATAAACACATTCACAAAAGTGAACATAAAACTGCACTTCTGATATGCACCTTCATGTGCATGCAGAGAAGTCAACAGGTTATGAAAAAGAAAGCTAATCACACAAACAGCTATTTCAACATTAGCAATACTGCAAAGAGATAAAACCTTAAGAAGTAGGACTATTTAATTCTTCCTATAAGTTCCCATGCCTACATAAATTATTTAAACAAAGGCTTATGGGTATTCCCCAAATTGTTTATTTGGACACACACCAAACACACACTTGATTTTGTTTTGAATATTTAAATAAAAAATGACTCAAGTGTCACCTTGGCAACTTTAGTTGTTTTTCATTCATTTTAATGAATGGGCTTACAGATTGTGAAAAGAAAAGATTTGCTAGCATGACTAATTACAACACATGTGTGTCATCATCTTGTGAATGCTCAATAATAAACAGCCTTCGTTTACAATTTCGCATCTCTCACTTGATATTAACGTACAATGTAAAATGTAATTTATCACGGAAAATATAGCCTATGATCATGTTTGTTACATTTTCACATTCCAAATATCATTTGTGCCCCAACTGTAACCTTTAGAGTGGTTATCCATTTACACGCAGTGCAATTCGCCATAATAGGCTCAACTGGATAATGCCGTTTATCACATCAATTAACCAAATATGTGATTGTTTTATTCAAATATATTTAGAGATGAAGCCAGTGCAGCCTCCACACATTTGCTGATGAACAGCCAAACATTTTAAATTCCCGCGTTTGTCTACTTACTCAAAAGGGAGCCGATGAGGATGAAAACTTGAATGGTGGTAGTGAAATCTTTGTAGGCTCTTTCCTGCGCCTGCAGGATCTCCTCCAGTCGTGCCACCTCTTTATCCTGAGCATCACCCCACAGACTCACCGGAGACGACGCGTTTAGGAAACCCAGGTTCGACGCGTTTAAACTTGTGGTTCCGTTTTCTGACAGAGGAAGCCAGCTCTCCGCGTTATCAGCCTCCATCATCATTCATATCTGAGGCGCCGCTATAATTTTTCGGCTCAGGTCTCGCCGTGCGCACGTTTACTGGTGAACAGAGCTCGAGCGTTATGATGTTGTGTCCATCATGATTAACACGCGAATTTACTCCAGTTCATCAAAAGCATCCAAAACGTAAAACATTTTGGAAAAACGCTGGACGGAGATCTTTCACGATAATAACATGTCCCAGACAGGACTGCATATTGCAGATTTGGTTAAATTTGCATTACGTTATTATCTTGTCGCTAACCAACTGCCTTTTCAGAATCGCGATATTTAAAGGAATGTTTCGGATATAAAAAGGCATAAATTTGTTTTCACAGCACAGATCGCACAGCCTATAATGTCATTGATGGAGCAATACGACAGTGACGGCGACGTTCACGCTCGCCTCACCACTCAACTTCATTTCATTAGCCATGTAAATAGACGAACATAATATGAAATAATAGTGCTTATATACAATACTTCGCGTGCATTGGGTTACTAAAATATGCAAATGTATGCGAATAATAATGCCTTAACGGTGTACGATAAACCTATAGAGAATATGCCATAGAAATGACCAACATACCCGTATGAGATCGTTATGAATGATCATAGCCAGATCCAAGTGCCAAAATACGATTTTGGTAAACGCACATCACTCTAAATATCGTGTCAGTGGGTGATCTGACAACTGGGCTTTAGCGAACAGGCTTCATTGCGAGTGACAATAGCGCTTTATTTCTTCAAATGAACGGTGGGCGCTTACAATAAAACGTCACCGTATCTGTCTGTTACGGCGTCTTGGAGAGGCGCGTGAGAATTGGAACCAAAGGTTTGGACTGAGCCTGTATTTGGCCAGATACTGCTCCAGACACGCACTGCATGCGAACGAAGCAAGGCCTGTTAAGGTATTAACAGTATCCTCGGAACAAAAATGTTATTTTAGCAGTTTTCATTATTGTTAAGTAAATAATCCATTGTGAGCAAAACGCCAGCATGTACCGAATTCACAGATTAAACTATTCCTTGCAGTGCATCTACTGAGTGTGCAAACCTCACACTGCACTGAATTTGCCTACGTGTTGCTTTTGTTTGCTTGTTTATAATAGGAAGGCTAGTGGTCCTTGGGGAAATTTTAGACAACCCATGAGGAATCTCTAAAGCCTGCATGAAATGAGACTGGGGCTAGTTGTCACACAAGGATGTTGTCAGAAGGGTTAAGCAATATTTCAGTAACTAAAAGGCTTAGAGTCAAAAGTCAAATTTCACAAATGTGTGGTGTTTTCTAGAAGTGTTTTTCGGTTTCACCTAATTCAAAACTATATGTGAATTCTACATCTAATAAAAAAAGTGATCCACATGCTGCTCCAGCATTGTGATTTTGCAGCAAAAAGGCCATAAACTATTTAAAAATCACTCATCTGAATTAAAACATTTAAACAAAAAGTCAATCCAGTATGATATATAACTGCGGTAGATTGTAGTAAAACATTTTGTAGTTTAGAAAGCATTTTTCTTGACCCTATCTATTTTTTATGACCATTTCACTTCCAAATTACGTCAATATAAATCAAATCTGATTTAATATACTTTACATTTTATTTCCTTGACAGTGATTGTAATTAAAGGATACTATAATATTCTGGCACTAGATAGCATCTTCTATTCAGACATAAAGGGACTTTCCACATGCTAATAAAATCTGACATTGTCCATTGACTACATAATACTAAAATATAAGAAGTTCATGAATAGAGTGAAAAAGCTCTGAAGCTTACATACAATGCTACAGGCCCTATAGAAAATAATGACACAGCTAATAACCAAACCTTATCTTTTCATTACCATAATATAGTTTTGTTGTAGATTCTGTTGTAGAGCTCAGACTGCCATCCACATCAGTAATTCTGTTTTTATCTCGGTAATTGGCTAGAAAACATTCTTTACATGTATTTAACATGTTTGGTTCCAAAAAAAAAAAAAAATCTGTTTCTGCAAAACTGTGAAGACATTTCTATGTTATTACCATTATTTTATTCACCTTTGGACTATTTATATTCAAATACATTTTTGAATTATTATGCGATTCTTCACACAAGAACACAACCATCAATTCATAGGAATGCCATGCACTGCAGGTTGACAGCTAGTAAGAGCTCTTCTGTAAATATAAAAAGAATCTTTTCCAGTTAATCAACATGCAAGAACTCTTAAGAGCTTCTCCTCTTAAATAGTCGGGTTAAACAACATGGCCCACTGGAGTGTGTCCTTATCACAGTGCTCTCTAAAAGATTTGCAATAAGTACCACTGGAGCTCTGCACAGAGAGGATCTCAATCATTTTCATGTTTAAAAAAAAAAAACACTTCTGAATCAGAAAAAAAAAAAACAATCATCTGCATTCATCCATTGAGATTCGCTGTCATGTATTTGTGCAGTGTGATATAATGGCAGCCATGCTGCAATAAACTTAAAGGGACAGTTAGCTCAAACATTTTCATTTTGTAATAATGTACTCACCATCATGTTGTTCCAAACCCATGTGACTTTATTTCTTCTCTGGAATACAAAAGCATATATTTTGTAAAACATTTTGCCTTTCATTGTATGAAAAAAATCAACAACATTCTTGAAAATCATCTTGAGAGAGTAAATTATGACAAATTTCATTTATGAGTGAACTACACTAGTCAACATTTGAAGTGGATCAAAACCTTTCATCAAAGTTGTCCTAAAACCAAAATGTGTTTCTTTCACAATTCATGCATAACATGCAAGTCTGTTATTAGTCAATGTTGTCATTAATGAAATGTCATCCTTAATGGCTTTTGATGGTCTTCAGACATGATTGTTTGTCATTAGGTACTAATTGACCCGTCACAGGTGTCTGTAATTGGGAACTGCTCATCATTTAAGGCTCTGAAAACTTCACTTGAGGTCAGAAAGCATAGAAAATGCCACATTTAGTGAGATTGCAGGATTCTGACCTCAACAGGGCCATTGGGATGCTGCAAGGAGGCATGACTCAGTGTGAAGTTGCAGACGCAGTGGAGACGTCTCAAAGTGTCATTTCCAGAGCCTGGAACAGGTTCAGAAGGTCTGGTCGTGTGAATAGAAAGCATGGTGGAGGCAGACAACAGGTCATAACACCAAATCAAGACCCTGCATGCCTGCAGAAACCGTTTCATACCTGCAGTCAGCCAGCAAAATGATCTTTAGGATGCAACAGGGGTGGGAGTGTCCACTCAGACTGTGAGGAGACGACTTCATGAAGTTGGCTTGAAAGCCAGAAGACCAGCTGTGGGGATGCCTCTTTCCAGAGCACACAAACTGACACGTCTGCAGTGGGCCACAGAACACCGCAGGTGGACAATGAATCAGTGGGGTACAGTGCTCTTCACAGATGAGATTTGACCAGACAAATCCTGAGACCAGTTGTGCGCCTGCTTGTGCAATGTGGCCAGATTTCGTGCTTATGGATGACAACGCCAGCCCACATCGAGCAAGGCTGGTGACGGAATACTTGGAGGAGGAGGGCATCTCAAGGATGGAGTGGCCTGCCAGGTCACCCGACTTGAACCCCACTGAACACATTTAGGAGCAGCTACAGGCAAGCACGAAAAAGTGCAAGCACGCCAGTACCCTCCCGGAACCTGTGTGGAGAGAACAGCATTGCTGGAGGAATTGCAAGTCATCCCTCAACAGAATATCCAAAACCTCATCTCAAGCATGCACAGGCGATGTGAGGCTGTGATCAGTGTCAGAGGTGGTAACACTGACTGGTTATCTCCGTGCATAACGTTTGTTGTTTCTTGTTTGTTGCATTTGTTACACCAGGGGTGCCCAAACTCGGTCCTGGAGGGCCCCATCAATCGTTCTAAGTAAATGCATTTTACACCTTTATAGATGATAGTAGTTGATCTATAACGGGTGATGGGCAAAGTAGCCTAATGTTAGTGTAATAAAAGGTTTTATGTGTAGTGAATAGATTTCACTAATCTATTCACTACACAAAACCTTTTAAACATTGTAAATTACTAATTGTAACACTTTCATTGTACAGAAAGAGAGCAAAGAATAATTACATTATCAAAGAACATCATTGACTTCTGTCTAGCCAGAGTTCAAGAACTCTCAAAAACTCTCATTATAATCACTGAAGCTGTTTACACTGTGAAATGCATATCTTACTTACATCGTTCGCACATCTGCACTTCGTTGTTTCTGATGAGAGCAGAATTCAGTCAGCGACACGCGCACTAAACAAAACTCCGCGTTTCAGCGATGAGTCGATGACTCCTCTGAACGCCTCTGATTGGCCATTGCATTCATAAACTAAACAGAATCATGTGTGATTGGTTATAATGCACAGCGCTGTAAAAACACGTGTCTCTGGCTCAGCCCTAGCCAGCGAAAGCAGATTGTATCAAATATAAATAATTATTCGGCTATTTTTGTCTTTTGGAAGCTGCATTCAAAATCCACTTTGCTCAAAAATCTGAGGGGGCACGTGCCCTCTCACTTTGAATGGGCATGACGCCTCG